CAAAGACTGTCCAGACTTTCCAAATTGCGGTGCTTTGTGCACATGGGTAGATCTGAATGTAGCCCTCATGAGTCTGTCAAATAACTAACCACATCCTACACTGCTTACAGATGACAACAACATTACTGTGGGGCTTTCAGCAAGCAGTAAGTTATGATTAGAAATGATGGGGGTTTATAATAAATAAATGGAGCATTCAGATGGAAAAGTTTGAGCTACTCCTCTAATCATGCCCTAGAGTGGCTGTGTGCTTAGGGAAGCCTTCCCCTCACTGTTGTACCATCGCACTGTACATCATCTTTCAAAGTCACTTCAAAATGCAGTGGGTTCAGTTTGCTTTTGCTTGGAATCAGAGTTTCGCTGTTCAAGGAGAAAGCAAGACTCTGACACCACCACCACTTCTTTTTTTTCCTTGTTTTGTTTTGAAGGTAGTGTTCACAGTTGCTTTTCTGTGCACAAAATGAGGACGCTGGCAGTAGCTATCTGGAGTTTGTTCACACTAAAATCAGAGTGAAATGTCCTAACAGCATAGTCCATAATTCATGACTGTTGATTCCTCTCCTAGGCTACAGTGACATCAGTAAGCAACAAAAGACTGGATCCTCTCGAAGAATTCGAGGAGGAGATATTAGAGGTATTGGGCAAATGCTCTCCAAAGGACATGGAAACTGTAGCAGCCTGCCATCCCCCTGCAAGAAAAATGGAGTGAAAGCACATGAGATTTAAGTAATAAAAAATGTGAGTTTAATGCAGATTCGTATTTATATATTGCAGCATCTGGAGTTTCCAATGAGTGTGACCACATCCTCTTAGAGTTGAGCAAGCCTTTACAAGTGAACCACAAGGAAACACATAAATTATTTGCTTAGGGAGAAAGAAAAGCTTTTGTTTTCTGTTATTTTACAGAATGCCCTTCTGACACAACCCTGTTTCTTCTGAGACCTGTGCTATGCAAGCACATTGTTGTTGTCCCAAAGGACATATCCCATCTCCCATCTTTAAGACACATTCCACTCTCCTGACTTTAAGACAAGGTAATAATATTTTCCTGACAACCAGAATAGAGAGGAAAGCTTAATAAATAGTTGTGTTATTGTATTGCTAGAGCATCTGAATAGTGTGGCAGAACTGGATATCACCTGCTTTTTTCCTTTCAAGCTAGGGACATACCATGTCTGGGCAGCTTCTTTGATTTACCGTCCCTCAGCCTCCAACAGCACCTATTAGCAACCCATCTGTTGGAGAGAAAACCCATCTAGTTCCACTCTGTAGTTATTTAAGGAAAGGGACCAACAAAGGCTTATATCATCCAGGAGTCTGAGTCCTGTGGGAAACCATCAGGTTTTAATTTTTAGCTCACACCATAGACAGGTAAGTCACTGAGACCAGACTTGAGCATTGTCTGGTGGTGCAAAACTGGTGGGTTATGAATGTGTTCCCATGATCCCATGTCCATGGTTTGGGGTTGGTTTTTTTTTTTTTTTGTTTTTGGTTTTTTTGACAAATCCAGAGCATGTGCTGCAGTGTTCTTGGCAACTGGCAGCCTGTCCATGCCACCAGCCATTGCAGCCAGCATGGAAATATTCGCTGGCACACCAGGACACGTGGGTGCTCTTGCATGGTGAAGAGTTTTGTGGAGGGCATTGCTTTGAGGATAGGCTGATGTCTCTAATTTACTACCTTAGCAAAAGCCTCTGAAAAGCAATGAGGCAGAATGCCATTGCATTGCCAGGGCATGGCACAGCACCAGTTCCACAGCTCCACTTCCCAGGTGTTATCTTCAATGATGCCATATAGGAACAGTGACCCCAGAAGTGGCCTTTCCCCATGAGACACCATGGTGGAGATAAACACCAAGTCTTTGTGTTGGGGATGGCTATCATGAATGGCAGATGGTGCAAGAGGAAGCATAGCCAGCAGGATCAGCCAGTGTTTTTCCTAGATGATGAATCAAAGCCATAAAGCTGCTGGCTCCTGCCTTGCATGGTGTCCAGTCCAGGAGAACAGAGAGGACTGGTGGCAGAGGGTTGGGCCACAAATGTGGTTAAGATCCCCAGCAGAGGAAGAGCCTTGAAAGCAGGAAAGTGGAGCTCTGGAAGACATGCTGAACTCACTCTAGACTGGGTGGGGCAGAAGACCAAAACATGAATCAGCTACAGAGCACTGAAACGAGGCTAATCTTGGTCATTTGGAGTTGGCTGCCACTGACTTGCCTTGTTGCCAGTGAGTTCAACACAAGCTGGACAGGATATGCCTGGCAGAGAGCCTGCTGAAGTTGATTAAATCACCATGCTGTTGCTGCCTGAAACCCTTCCTACACCCCTTTCTGAAATGGCTTTTGCAGCAGTACACTAGCACCCTGGAGCATCAACCGGACGTCTTCCCATTCTTCCTGCAATGGACAGCAATGGAGTGTGCGCTTGGTTAGCATACAGGAAGATGGACCATTATATTGATCATTGCTTCTGTACGGTGATCTCTTCTGTTTTGCCCTGCAGGATGTAAGAGCAAGAAGGGCTGGAGGAATGAACCATCGCTGAGGAGAAACAAAACCACCAAGGACTTCTGTGGCTCTCTCACTGCGCCGTGGGAACCAGGAAGGATGTGTCAAGAGACATAACAGCCTGCTTGCCCATGAGACTGTGCGATACTCCATGCTTCTGAAAAAAAACAATGTTGCAGGGAATCCCTGGCCATACTCTGGAGCAATACCTCGAGCCTAACATAGTACGCAAGAGATCTCTCTGTGGTAGGGACAGGGCACCCACTTACGCTAGCATATCTCCCAGCGTCCTTGGCCTTCAGACAGATCAGCCATGACTGTATGGTGGAGGACACGGGTAGAGGTGGAGCAGAAGCCCCATGTTCCTAGCTGCACCAGTGACCAGTGGAGGGGTATCCAGGAGGGACAGCTAGCTCAGTCCACACAAGCCAGGTAACTGCTTGGCTCCTAATGGGAACCTGGAGAACATCAAGGAACAAGGTCTCCGTGCAGGTCCTGTCCTATTGCCCCACAGGGGCTGACCTAAGCCTCTCGCTCAAACTTACCAGCTCTACCTCACTTTTCTTTGTGTGGATAAGTTGAGTTGCTGAAGAGTCCAGATGTGTGGGATGCTCTTCCAGTGAGTTTCATAGGAAAGAGCAAAGGCAAGGCCAGTCCCATCCTGAATATGAGCAGAGAGCTTTATCATGGCTGGTGGTTGCAAAAAGTGGGGGAAATACGGCAGTGAGTCAGGAAGCGTTGGGTTTCATCAGAAAATGGCAAATGCAAGCCAGTTTGCAGAGAGTGACAGAGAAGAATGGAGATTTGGGGTACAGCAAGCAGAAAGATAGGTGGAGGGCTTGTGGGAGTCTAGGTTAGATGCAGGGTGTTCCAGCAGAGAGGTTAGCAAAGCAACCAAGAGATCTCATGGTAGGAAATCTTTGAAACAATAGAAAATCTTCAGAAACAACATGACAGCATCATTTTATACTGGGTTAAAGATCTGATTCTTGTGGCCCCAGTGTTTAACTCTGTCCCTAAAACTCAAATTACTGCGCTGTTTGATGATGATGGCTTTAGGTGCTTTGAAAATCACAAGTATATTCTGCAGCATAATTGGTCTAAAATAGGTTTTCCTCATTCTTCTGATGACAGCATCAGGGCCAGACCTCCTAGGTGTTTTAACCTGCTTGTTTACACTGCTTCAAGGGAGATTAGAGTCAGGCACCACATTTTTCCTTTAGTCTTTTTTTCTGTCTTTACTTCCTCATCCCTGACAGGGGAAGCACTGTTCTTTCCATGCTCCTTGTTTCTGATTGAAGCAGACAATAGAAAAAGTGACAATTAGGAAATAAAGAACCTACAGTGTCTGCTTTGGAAGGGAGAGCACATCCCACTGCTGAGCAGCACCGAGTCAAACCAGTGGCTGCCTGTTTGGGTCAGATGAAGATATTGCTGCCTTATATTCCTGGAACTGCCTGAGATAGCATGGGACACTGCTGCTCTACAGACCAAATAATAATATTAGCATTAGTGTTGAGTAGTATGCATTTATAGTAGTCCTGCAAGGAGCAGGGAGTTGGACTTAATGATACTTATGGGTCCCTTCCAAGTTGAGTTATTTTATGATCCTATCATTTCAGGATGCTCAATTGCAGTTTGGAAAATAATGGTGATTAGAAGCAAATGGCAAGGCCAAATAACTTATTATTTGGGAGATCAAGTAACCATCTGGGGCAGGGTTGCAGATACAAACTTTGGTCTTCCCAGATTACTGTCCTCTGCCAAAATGATTAAAGGTTGCTAAGCAGTGTCAGTGTATTTCCCCCAAACCGAAAGAATGTAACAAAAGTGAACGAGTTCAGTGCAGAAGAACTGAACTTTTATCAAGCCTAAATATAGATAATCATTGGTAATGATGATTTCTGTTCCTTAAAGCATGCCGGGCACCTGAAACATCTCATGAAAGCCAAGATACTTTCTTTATGTTGTTTACAGTGCAGAAATCTTATGGATCAGCCAAGGTGGACGTGCAACCCCTTCTCCAGGTCTTGTTTGGCCCTTGTTCAGTGTCCAGGGCTCTTGCCAAATGCTGCCTCAAGCCTCCTTTTCCATCCCTTCCAATGCCAGGGAAAATGAAACCCAGTCTCAGACTGTCTTCCTCCACTGCAAATAATAAAACAGAAAACCTTACCAAAGTACAACCTTATGAAAGGAAAGGCAGACAAAGAGAGCAGAAGGAGAGAGAAGATAGCATCCTAAACTATGAAACAAGACTCATTTTCTCAAGGATCCCACCCAATAGCCTCTCCAACCTCACATTTACAAGGCAGCAACAAGCCCCTTCCTGTCAATGTATCACCTTCACCTTTTGTGTGTCTCCACCCTCTTGCCCAGGGAAGGATGCTAGGTCTGAAGGTCCCCCTGGAGCTCTTGCTCTCTGCTAGTCTCTTCTGTCCCTCCTGGTCACCTCTCTCATCTCCACAGAATATCCTGTGGTGCCTCCACAGGACTACAAGCCTAGAGAGAACCTCAAAGCCAGCACTTACCACAAAAGGGGGTATTTCCCAAATAGGGTTTTGGGACTATGGTAGAGTGATCAAAGCAGTCAGGAACTGCACATGGTGGTGACACGGGAAACAGGCATAGTAGATGATGGAAGGTCCAGGATAAAGGATGAGGACCTGAAATCATCCCATCATGTCTCATCAGGGACACAAAAAGGAGTCTGAGGTGCACAGCAGAAAACTACCAGTAGCACAGGGACCATCAGTGCTTGCTGGAAGTTCACCTGCCTGCCTAGGTGAGGACTAGCCAGCAGTGGAGATGTTGAGTAACATGGGGCTGGTGTGCACTCCTCCGATGCAGCCAGCTGTGTGCTGTTCATCTCTCCAGATTTCCTAGTACTTGTTCTCTTGTTCTGGGAAGAGGAGAGAGCTGCAAGAGGCCCATCTCACGGGGATGTTTAGAGAAAGGAAAGTCCATTGTGTGAAAGAATTTGGTATTCCAGGGTTTGTTTTCCTTCTGACACAGAACAAAACACCACCATGTCAAAACCCTCTGTAAGGCAAAACAGAACCAAAAAAAATCCCCCAAAAGCAACAAACTGTGGCGTTTAGTTTGGACATGGTCTGTAGAAGCATTTTTCTTTTCTTTTTGGGTTTTCAGTCATCAGGATACCAACTACTGTAGCTATTTCAGGAAAAGGAAAAAAAAAAAAGGAAAACAAAATCCTTGCCAGAACAAAGAAGGGGAGCCTTTTCCTGCGCCAAGATCCAACCCTGCCTTCAGTGGGTTTTCTGTGTGGTGGCACCAGGATCAAAGTGGTTCCCTTCTTTCTGCCCTAGGAGGGGAGCAGAGCTGCAAAGGACCCTCCAAATCTTAAGTGGGAAAATCAGGGAACAGGCATTGCAGTGACCATAGAAGGCATCAGCAGAGTGGTTTTGCATTAGCTTTCCATGAGCAGAAGGACTCCTACAAAGCAGTCAAGAAATTTTAGAAAGCTTGCATGTAAAGGTTGGCTCCCAGCAACAAAACTGGGGGCAAGTCACTGATTTGCTTGGTGCTTTGGGTTAGACCCTGCAAATGTCTTTCATGTCAAGAGCCTCTGGCCCAGCTCTCCGGCCCAGTTTCCCAGCTTCCCTGATGGTCCTGGATGGGCTTGTGTCTCTCTTTATGCTTTCAGCCCCTGGGAAGGTGCTATTTTGTAGGTACTGCTGCTTGGGTGAGTTTCCCCAGTGGGGCAATCCAGGGTGCCGATGTCTTCAGTGGCGGCAAAAAAGCAGCCCGCCACCACGTCTCTCTGCGAGTGTTTTCTGAGCGCTTGGCATGGCGCCTGGCCGCATTTCACTGCTGCCTTTTCATTTGCGTTAATTCACTGCGTTTCCTTTCTTGCTCCTTGCAAGGAACAGAGGGAGAGCTTGTTCCAGCAGACTGGCCCCATCCGCTCCACCCGGCTCTGCTGGAGCGAGGGTTGGAAAAGAGGGATGGAGGCAAAGGGGTATCTCCCACCCCTCCGGGGCCCCGTGTGCCGCCTGCGTGCTGCTTCCCAGCAAATACGGTAAGCGTTCAGCCTAAAAATGTAAGTCTGATCTCATGACACAGGGTGGCCCTGCATTCCTCACCTCTGACATAACCCGCTGGGAGTGTTCTCCGCAGAAAAACACAAACAAGATGTACTGGTGGGCTGGCGGTGGGGGCCAGGCGGCTGGCAGATGTGCTCCAGAGCCCCCGCGCAGCCCCCCGGGTGCCGCAGCCCTGCTCCAGCACAGCCTGTACCCTCCCGGCACGGGTGAAACCGCAGCCCGTGCTGGGAGGACAGAGCCGTCCATTGCTTCTTATATCAGGCGATGCACGGGTGTGTGCCGCAGCCTCCCCTCTCCCAGCCCTGTGCCCTAGGCAGGGGGGTGGTGGCAGGGTAACTTGATGTGGTTCAGTATCATCCAGGGAGGCAACAGAGCTCCCCTGGGATTTTGCTTGGTGAATGCCTGAGGGCGTTTTTTAAGGACTTGTGGTGCTTTTGCAATCGGTTGGTGGTTGTTATTTTTTGCCTCATGTTTGTTTCTGCATCTCAGTCTCCGTGAGGCAGGCTCTGCTCTGGGCTTGCCATGACCATGGCTGGTGCAATTGTTCCACTGGCCTCCCATCCCCATTAGACTTCCACGCTTATCAGGAGCTCCACTGAAGCCAACAGCCCTGTATGCTCTGAGTGCATCATGCCCAGTGCCCTACACAACTTGTCACCCAAAGCCTTGGGTTTCACAGGGCACTTGATGCCTCCTTGTACCCCAACAGGGCACAGGGATTAAATGATTAAATGGTCACATGGAGAATCAGGGCAGAGTAGTGATGCGAGTCCCACTGCCATAAGCACAAAGCTGACTTTCTTCCCAGCCAAACCCCCCTGCAAGTACAGCCTTCTCTTGAGCAGGGGGCAGATCCTGCTCTGCACGGAGCTGACCTCCCATCTCACCCAGCCACATCACACCACTTGTTTACTGTCTTTTGCAGATGCCCTAAACCCTGACAACGACCTATTTTCCCTTCTGTTGCGCAAAGCTTCTTTCCTAGAAAGAGGCTTTGTAACGCTCGGTCTGACCAGCCCAGCTCTCCTCCATGTATGTAAAAGGAGACTTCAAATGACTGGCAACTTAACTCAAACACACCCAAAACCCACACGCTGATGAGTTGGAAGGCTCTGTCAGATGCTACCTGAAACCATCATGTGAGACTGCCAGTTCGGTTTGCAGAGGAATCAGATGAGCTCTGTCAGCCTTCACATCCACTCCTCAAATTTACTTCTTCTTACTAGTGCTTTTCATCTGTCTGCTCCTGCTCCAGCATTCAAGAAAGCTAGGAGAAAGTTTTTCTCCAGACATTTCTCCTCTCTTTCTGTCCTTACCTTTGTGTGGCAATGAAAACGTCTGATTTATTTTTTTTTTTAAGGAAATTCGGGAAAAAAAATACAAATTAAATCTCCTCATTTCTCTGCCATACTTCCAAGTTTTCAGAATTATTACTCCTCTGGCAGAGGATGGTTTGCAAGGCAAAACAAGACAAACAATGGTAACAAGAGAAACAATGGTTCAAATTTGCTTGTTCAGAGCACACAGTGTTTGATCCCAAGCAGGAGAGCGCTTTTGCTCATTGGTTCAAGCTTCTTTTCAAGCACCCCTTCACCTTGGGGATCTCCATCCTTTCCTTAGGAGGTGCCCTGGCTGTGCCCAAGCTGTAGCAGTGTTATCTCCTCCTCCCACAGTGATGGTTTCATTCAGCTCCTCCAGTTCTTCTCCATCTCTAACCTACAGCCCAGCTTTTTAAGTTAACTCAGAGTCTGTGCTGGTTTATTTTACTGTGCCAGGCTGTAACTTGAAGCTACAAACATAAATTCAGCCTAACAAGTTCCCCTTGGCCAGCTGAGAGCACAGGTTAGAGATTAATCCAACAGCAGCAGATGGTCTAGGTTGAATGCTTGCTGATTGCCCACAGCTGCTTTTTCCTGTCCCCTTGGTACCTGCAGCTTGGCTTGGTATCTAGCTGTGCTCTTGCCTGGACAGACAAGCTGCTCTAAATGAAAACAGAAATGCACAAGAAGCCCGATGTGCTGGGGTCAGGGTCTGGTTGTGAAGCAGCTCATGAGCCCACCAACAGCTACACTAAGAGCAAACCTTGGGAGGGTCACCAAGATATGGTGACTTCCTCTCTGGCTAAGTACTTTTTTGCATAGGGACCCAGGTATTCTGCCTGGGTTCTAGCGGCAGGACACAAAACTGCTTTGGGTAACCACCAGTTTTCCTCCCTGAAATTCTTTCCTAGAAAATAACATGGTATCTCTGTCAACTACATAAACCCTGCCTGGAAAGCACAGGGAATAAAGAGCCCTTGACTAGAGTTATTCTTTGAGCTTTGGTAGCTCTGCAGATAATTTTCTCCAGTTCACAGATGAGTGAATGTGACATGAGGTTGAGGTGATACAAAATACAAGTGGTCTTTAAGAGGTCATGGTATTTTATTTTTTGCCTGCTTCTAAATGTGCATAGAATGCAAACAAGTAAGGACTTGGCTGATGGGCTGGTGTCTGCTTGCTTATACAGGGATTATTTGGCACCTGGGATTTTTAATTGCATGACATTGTTAGGGATAGCAGTCACTGGGTATCTTTGGGAATCTTGGCTATGACCAGAATCAAGCCCTGAGCCCCTGGCGATGGACTGCTTCAGTGTCCCCATCACATGCTGAGATAAAGCATCTCTACAGCCAGTCATCTGTATCTGTTTTTTGTAGTTGATGAGCTGTGTATGGTACTTTTGCCCATAATAGTGGTCAGTCCCAGCAGCCCATCTGAAGAGACAGAAACTGTTAGGTGCTGTAAACAGACAAGGGCTGGGATGTTGTCAGGTGTCTTTAACACTGAGGCAGCAGTGATGTGTTTCCAGTTCCATTAATTTTCTCCATTTTAAAGCTGAAACCCATGAAATTAGTAAGTAGGGGAACACCAATGTTAGGATTAAAAAATAAAAAAATAACAAAACAAAAGAAAGAAAAGAAGCCTTCTTCTGAGCACCCAAAAGTCACAGGAACCACAGGGTAATAAAACATGTACCTGCGTTATTATTTTGCTGTAATTCTGTGCACAGCTACAGAATGTATAGCCTACTCCTGGAATTGCTCTTTCTATTGTTGCATCTATGGGCTTAGATTTAAGGTCAAATTACCTAATTTAAGAATTGAGGAGTATCATCTGATCCACAGTAACTAACCAGGTTCATGCAGGAGTAATGCCCTGCCTCCTGACCATCTACCTCAGTTTCTGAAATCTTCTCCTGTAAACCAGTAGGTCTCAAACCAAAGGCCAGGTTTGTATCATGGGCCATGATACAGCAGTATAACAAGCATCCTAAAAGACAGTACCCTAAAATATTCAGGCATAAGCTAAAACTTATGCTTGGTGTTCATACCAAGCTTGAAATTTCCTTTCACATTCCTTTCTGACTAAAGAATGAGAGGGGGAAAACACAGCCCTGCCCATAGTCACTGCTGGACAGAAAAATCCCATTACTGCCTTCTCCATCAGGCAGGAAAGGCCTTCAGAATGGCACTGGAAGGTCACATATTTCATTGCTGTCTTGTTTTCTATGAAATTGCAGCCCGCTGCTTCCCAAGGCTGAGGATCCAGCCCCTCTGGATCTCACTTAGGAGATGTCATGGACTTGCTGCCATCCACAGGTTTCTCTGATGAGAAATCATCCAACAAGCTGCTGGTCCTCATACCTTTTGTATTTGGAAGTCTATTCAGCTTTACCAGAGGGCAGGAAACCAGCAAAGCATTATGAACCCAGGATGAAAATAGTGGCACTGCAAAGGTCTGCCTTTTATAATTTTTCACTCTGATTTCCTCTTTCTATACCAAAATGTGCCAACAATTGTTTGTTGTTTTTTTTTTTTTCCCACAAACTTTTTAGAGCCCGCCGCAGAACACATGGGAATCAGTGAGGTTTGTGCTATTAGTTGATCTAAGAAAGGACTGATGTGGATTGCAATTTTCAAGATCTGCAAGGAGAATTGCATGGGTGGTATCATTATGTTCAAATAGTAATTTGGGTTCTAAGCCTCTTACAGAGTGCTAAAATACTACCCTGGCCATTGGTATGACATGGAGGAGGAGACTTGGAGACAGCAACCCTGACACCCTCAGCTTGGTTGTGCCAGATGTAATGTAGGAGGCTGGAAAACCTCAGGTAATCACTTCGACCACATTCAAACCACTTACTATGGAGTATGATAAAGCCCTAAACATGCGCGGGGCTGGAGGGACATTGTGAGCAATATCATCCAGAACAGCAATGGACCTGGCATGCTCTGCAGCTGGTGGGGAACTGCAGGACCCTGTTCAAACAAACCTTATATGGTGCTTTTATTTCTTCCCACTGATGGTGTACAGAACTAGGGATCTGGCAGCTCTGGAAATGCAAAATCCTGAAGTAATCATGGTTTTCAGGATAATAGTAGGTACTGAAGTCTGTAACTGAAGTTACATAGTCAGAAGTCCGAGGAGTGCCCTTGGTTTTGCGGTGCTGTATCTGGTGGGCAAATTTTTCCCAGCCCATGACCAATTCTCCCTGATGTTTGAGGAAAAGTGCAAGCAAAAAAGCTTCATAGTGCAGTAACCTAGGCCATTTTCTACAAAATAAGGCAATTAAGGACCAGAAACTCTTCCAAAGTGCTACAAAGACATGACGCTGTTGTTCGTTTTGTCTGGACCTGAGCCCAGGGCCCATGACTAGACCTGTCGTATCCCCACACCTTCAAAGCCAGAGCCTGGGCTGTGTTTGTGCTCTCCTGTCGCAGGGTGAGAGCTTTCCTGGAGCCACCGAAAGAGCTTGAACACTTTCTTCTGTAATCTGTCGTGACTGTCAGGATGCCAAGAGACATGCCAGACCTAGACCCTGGGCCAAAATAGCTATGTAGACATGCCCAGAAAGGAGAGCTGGCACAAGGTGTTGTATAAAGTGAGATACATGAAGCTGCAGGCAAATATTTTGGTAATCGCATGGGTAGCTTAGGCTTGGCAGAGGGCAGGGCACGTCTGCTCATCAAGAAAGGAGGAGGCAAAACTTTATCAGCTTGGAAAAGGGTTGGAGCCTGTTTTAGTGGGAACTCAGGGGAGCTTCAAGGGGTTAAACAAAAATAATTGCCCCAGAAAGGTTGAGGTGAAGGACTCAGTAGTGTCCCAGGGAGGCCACAAGCACCTTTTCAAAATAGGTTTTTCCAGGTGACAAGATCCCATTCCTGATAATGTATCATTATAATTACCATTTCATGGTAAGGTTCAGAAGTGACTGGAGGAAGGACCATACACTTTGCTCAATGTTTGTGCAGGGAGAGCCTCCACGTGTCTCTTCACCTCCGTGTTGACCTAGAAAGTTCAGCCTCAAAGGATGGGAGAGGAAAATCTAGTCCCTACAACTGGGGTAGCTACAGCACAGAGTCAGTGAGGCAGACCGCAGACACACTGCACTAAAGCATTGCACCTAATTAGCTTCTGCAAGTTGGGTATATATATGCCCGAAGAGGTTGTTACTGTCGCTCACAGCCATCCAGTTCCCTGCTGAATGTTTTTGATCAAAGTCTTCCCAAGCTGATCTATTTTCAGCCCAACCCACTCAATACCTTGATTGCTACACAGCTCTTTTAGCTGCTCTTAGGTAAACATGCTGTCGCTCCTTGGCATTTTGCCTTTCTAAGCCAAAAATACAAGTGGCACAGAAAATAAGAGAAGCTGTTCTCCTTCGCCAGGAAAAATTATGCTATTTCTGAAATAAACTGTTTTTAATACACCTCACTGGCCATGCACGTATACACTTACATATAAATATACTTGAAATGGAGGTCCAGCTGTTGGCATCATCTGCATACATGGAGACAGAAACAGAGAGACAATTATGTACCTATAAACCCAGACACATCTTCAGTCCAGTCTGTATCTGAATGCAGAGTTTTGGTTATGCTGAGATATCAGGGGCTGACTCCCATTAAAATAGGTCCACGTGTACTCAACTCAAACCTGTGGGTTATGTTCTCTTCTGGAGAGCTCATCTGCTGTGGCTGTCCTTAGGGAGGGTGACTAGCATGATGCTCATACTGGGAACTGTTTTGCATCATATGGTGGAGCAGGGGGTGTGGAACAGATACTCTGGGGACCCCTCTGTGCTAAAAGCCATAACTGGTGACTATGCACATGAGATTGGCTTTGCCCATCCTTGGTTCTCTATGGGCTGACATGGCCCCACATGAGATGAAGGACAGCACAGGAAGCACTTCACAGATCCACCCTCAGTCAGCATCCCCGGAGCTAAGCCAGAGCAGGCTTCAGCAGATCAAAATCAGAGATCAATCCATGGCAGACCTTATTTTTACAGAATGACAAAATAAGGTCTGCCATGGGTTGAGAAGATCCACCAGCCAGACCTTAAAGTCATGTTTTCAGTTTCCCCTCTAGTAAGTAAGCACATAGAAGTCAACAATAGATGGAGCATCACATGGAGTTGCAGAGGTCAGCACAGAATTCAGAAAACCCGCAAGTCTGAAAAAGAAATAATTTGGAAAGGGGAGCATCTGGGAGATTATTGTGACATGCTGAGGAAGAAAGCAGTACATACTGGTGTGTGCTGTCTTCTCTGCAATATGCACCTGAAAGTTTTGATTTTGTGGAAGAAGACAAAGACGGGCAGATAACAAAACAAGCTGACAGCTCCTGGGTAGGAAAGATTTTTGTGTTTTTTCTTTGGTTGGAGACTAGAGAATACAGGCAAAAAGGTGTTAAACTGCAGACATAATGGGCAGGAGTAAAGCAGGCAAATGTAAAACAAAAGATTTTATGCAGCAAGTGCAGATTGAGGCAATGTGATAGAGAAGGACAGCTTCTTCAGGAGTTTATATAGTACTGTAGGGAGTCTGGGTGACAAATAAGGGATTCAGGTGAGTGCTGCAGTAATGGGCTGCTATGTGTGATGGAAGATGGAAGGGAGGAAAGGAGCAGAGGACACCTATTAATAAAAATAGCATATTCCATTTAAGCTTTATTGGTAGCTCAGAGCCAGGGAGTCTTTCATGCCTTTGCATTTTTGAGCTAACATTACCCAAGAGTGGGTAGTGGCAGGGATCCGCGATGAGCACTTAAAGTGGAGAATAGCTCCAGCCTCTAATATGAAGAAATTAAAAGACTTTGGTTTACAGAGATGTCAGTCTGAGAAACCTGTGTGTAGCAGCAGAATAGCATTAGTGTTTCTAAAAACACAGCTGGTCATTTCTGAATATGCAATATCATGTATCAAAAATGAAATCATTCAGCTGAGGTCTCAGTATGGTGGCTATGGACTAATTCAACGCTGGACGAAAAATTAACGGTTGCCTTGGGACCGGTGTTTACTAGCTAGTGACATTCAAAGGAAGGACATTCCCATGTGGTCATGGGGAGAGCAGTGACAGTGCAAAAAGATAAAGTGATCACAGTGGACAAAGAGCAGGTGATGAACTCGCTCCAAAGGAGGGTCAGAAGGGAATGGTGTCATCCTGGAGGTGAAGGTCTGAGTCAATATGAGAGGGATGCAGAGGTAAGGTTGCTTCCATGCAGGGTGTTAATGAAACAAGTACTGTAAACTTCCTGCTAAAACAGTGCTGGGAAGTTGGGCATGGTGAGTCACCAACATAATCTGAGAGCTGGAGGCCCCCCACAGGTTGAGGGTTAACAGACAATCTAAATTTGAGAGCGGACTTCATTACAGCTGAAGATTGCCTCCAAGGGTAGAGGATACAAGGTACACTGCAGAGAAAAATGTGACAATAGCAGAGAGGTGGAAAGCTGAAGTGCAGGTGAATTTACATTAGAAAGGAGGCAGGTTTTTTAACAGTGATGCTGACAAGTGATTAGGGCACACTTAAGAGCAGCAGTATATATTCCCCACACCAAGCCTTGCGTGCAGCTAGTAGACACCTTAGCAGGCCATGGAGGGAAAGAGGCACCTTAGAAGCACCATAACTCACCTGGTTAATTTTTGATATCCACTGGAAGATGGGATGCTTGTGTCCTGGCTTACATCAACTGCTCCATCAGTATTTCAACAGATTTAGGTAGACGAATGCAGAACCTTGTACTTCCAAATCAATGCTGCTCCCATGACAAATTGAACTTTCAGCCAGAAGATGGAATTCCCGAAGGGGTAAGTTATCTTTAATGGACTGTGAATGGTCAGAGGTTGCAATTTTCATGGCTCCAGCCTGTGCATCTCATGCTGCATGAAACATGCTGGATGTAATGTCAGGCAATTTACCTATGGCCATCTCTTCATGCTGAGCAAATATTTGTCTTATCATGGTTTTAATGTGCCCGTCAGTGATAGCTAAATGTCAAGCACAAAATAAAGCAGTGCCACCTGGGAAAGACTCTGCCACATGTTGCTTTTGTTCGAGGTTTTATCAGTATGTTGGGTACAAAGTTCGGCAGTGAGGCAACATAAAGAAATTCTATATTTCCAGAGGTGGTGTTTGAGGGGCATTCATGACATTTGGACACAATGCAGTTCATAGAGTATTATTATTGGGTGTACTGCTCAATAATGACTGAGTCCAAGCCCCCAGCTTTTCATCCCTTCTCCCTCTTGCTCCTGGTGGCTCTGTTGCATCTGACACCAATTTGCTCTCTGGTGTTTGAAGCCAAGTTTCTTGTCCAGTGACAGAGTGTCTCCAATCCGGAAGGGGCTGCTGCAGAGAGCCGCAGCTCTGCAGGCTACTGCCACATTTGGAGTGACCGGGAGGTCGCTCAAAAAGAAGAAAACAAAGGCAGTGATCACCCTGCAGTGCACAGCAGCCACAGAGCTGGGAGAGAAGGGGAACACAAGCGGTACATTTAAGACCCCACAGAGAAGGGAAAACACAGGAAGTACATTTAAGACCTTCATTTTGCTTCATAGTATATTCCTTATGCTTTCCATAAAATACTTCTTGTTTTTTAATCTTACTCTTTCCTCTTTACCATTCCCTCCCATTCCTTTGCCCCTTCCCCTTCCCTCCCATTCCCTTGCCCCTTCCTCTTCCCTTGCACCTTTTCATTCCTGTGTCCCTTCCCCTTTCCTTGCCCCTTCCTCTTTCCTTGGCTCTGCCCTTTTCCCTTTTCTCTACCATCTCTTCTCTTCTTCTCTTTCCTCTGTCCCTTTCCTTATCTCTTCTTTTCTCCTCCCCAGTCCTCTCCTATTTCTCTGTACCAAATGAAAAACAAGGACTATGAGGATTCTGCCTGCATAGATGGAGAAGCTGGGAAAGCAGCAGGGAGGGCTGACCTTGGAGCACAGAGAGAAGTGTCTGCCAGCTCCAGTTTGATGGCAGTTAGTGTTACAGCACAAAGGGGGAAAGGCAATTCTTGGGAAGAGATGGGGGCTGGGGGAGGGGGGGGCAGTGAAGAACAACGAAATGGCAAAAAGAGCTTTGGAGGGATGCAGCAGAGCTATCCCTTGTGCACCTGCCTCTATTGTGACTAGGTGCAACGCTCCCATTTCTCAAGCAATTGTAACTCTCTGGGGAGAGAAGGAAAATCCATGGAGATGATCTGGAACATACCCAAAATGAAGCCATTTTCTGCTGGAAAAGTCTGTAAAACCACAGTGCTGTAATGGGAACTAAGACCCTTCTGTAGGATACTTGGGCTTGTATGTGTATTGTGATGGAGCACATCCAAAGAAGAGCAATGAAGCTGGTGAAGAGTCCGAAGCACAAGTCTTACGAGGAATGGCTGAGGGAACTGGGGTTGTTTAGACTGGAGAAAAGGAGGCTGAGGGGAGTCCTTACCACTCTCTAAAACTACCTAAAAGGAGGTTGTAGTGAGGTGGGGCTCGGTCTCTTCTCGTAAGTAACAGATGATAGGACAAGAGGCAATGGGCTCAAGTTGTGCCAGGGGAAGTTTAGACTGGATATTAGGAAAAAATTCTTCACTAAAATGGTTATTGGAAGAGATTGCCCAGGGAAGTGGTTGGTTCACCATCCCTGGAGGTATTTAGAAGATGTGTAGATGTGGCACTCAGGGATATGGTGTAGTGGTGGACGTCACAGCGTTTGGTTTATGTTTGGACTTGATGATCTTAAGGGTCTTTTCCAACCTAAATGGTTCTATGGTTTTATAATTCTATGATATTCAAAGTCTGGAGAAAGATATTCCCTGTGGACTGAATTAATTCCGATCTTCACTTGCCACATTCCCTTCATCATGCTTAACATTGTTAAAATGCTAAGGAACAAGAACAATGTTAAGAACCCTGGAGAGCACATTGACTTGTCCTTATAGGATCAGTGAATAAATAGGTTGGAAAGGACCTCAAGAGGTCAAATCTTCTGCCCAGAGCAGCAAATCACTAGGCACTAGCTGTTAGGTAGGTTTCTCCCTCTCAATTGGCAAGAACTGCTGTATGAACATTCTTTCTGTTAACAATTTGGATCTGCTGTTTCAGGCTCTACCCAGAGCTGTACAGACTCTGGCCCTGACACCTTGCAAGCTGTTCTACCCATTCTGCGTGCTAGGGCAACTTTAGGACAGGACTACATCATGACCCATTCTTGCATTAGTGACTCAGCATGTGCCACGCCAGCCAGCCCAGCTGGGGGCTTTCCCAACCTCACTGCCTCTGCTCCTGCCCCCTTCCATGCTACCCTGAAGCTCCCTCTCAGGGCTGATGATCACTCCTTCTCCCTGGACTCCTAATTCAAACTCCACATATTTCTCCTGCCTTGGGCTACATTCTCCTCGGCTTCTGCTTTGGTTTAAAAATGGTTTAAAAATATTTCCAAGTGTATACAATGTGTTTGCAACATCCTTTGAGTCGGAATATTGTTTGTTGTTGCAGCTTCTGTCCACATGTTAGCTTCCTTGGCCTCCTCTTATGCTTTCTCCCTGTAACATATTTTACCTTGGAAAGGGCTCTTTGTAACTACTCAAAATAGGGACAGGAAGAAAAGTCCTGGTAGGTTTTACTGTTGTTTTTTCTCCGAAGTATTTGGAAAGTTTTGTGGTAATTGTT